ATGGTAAGTTTTCCAGAACAAAGACAGGATGAAAAACTGGCACACCATCATACCGAGAGACGGGGGAAAACTGGGGATGGTTCTAATTTTGCAAAACCTCATCAGCTGCTGAAGCATAGGCTGCTCCAAGTTTAGATGACATTGCATCAGTCCTCTCTACCTTTTAGTCAGGAGGAGGAAGAAAAAAAAAAATACATCTACCCCAGTTTGCAAAAAATCAGATGCCAGGAAGGGCTTCGGATATAACTGGCACTGAGATTTTATTTTTCCAAAGTTAAATGAAATTGCAGGGTTTTTTTCCTTGTAAATCCATATTTCCAGCAGGATGCTGAAGAGGACTGAGTGAGTGAAGGAAATGGCATGAGTGACCCACCCTGCTTATCTTTAGTGGTATCGGCTTGTCCCGCAGTTACAGGCTCAACAGCCGACTCATACGTAGAGGGGATCAGGAAAGAGGCGACTGAAAGCAGACGCTTCATTCAGGTGCCTCAGGAAGAAAGGTGAACAAAAGGGTACAAAAGGATGCTAAGAAACAACATGGGTCCAAAATTCCCCCTCCTGAGGCTGAGCAGCACACAAGCGCGAGGGACGAGGCTCTGCCACCTCTCCGCCAGCCCTGGAACAACATCCATCCTTGAGCAGGGCAGTTCCCTGGGCCACTGCACGGAGCGAGCCATGGCTGAGGCGAGGTAAGGTCCAAAACGGGCTATCAGAAGAACGTGCTTTAGCCTTTTGTTTCTGGGCCTCAGTACCCACTGCTGAAAGCAGCCATGTGTCAGTCACAGGCCACGCTATCACAATTAACAAGCTAAGCAAAGCCATCTGTGACCCTAAAAATCAACAGATGTTGTTCCTGTGACTCATGCAGGCAGAGCAAACACGAGGACAAACAGAGGCAACAGCAAAGATCCCAGCTTGTTCACCATTCCTCGGTTTGCAAGCTCCCCAGCTCAGCTCCAGGACTGCTGCTGAGCTGCAGAGGCAACATGCTTATAGCAGCCAGGTTTTGGGGAGAAAAAACATTGCTTACCTGGAATCCAACAAACTTCTTGTGCCAGTGACTGGGAAGAACTTGGCACGGAGGATCAGCCCAGGTATGGCATGGGGGGCAACTGCTAGGATAGCATGGGATGGGTCTTGCAAAAAAAATCCTGCTCCATCACCATGTGGCACCAGGGCTCCATCCACATGTAAGCGAGACATACAGATGAGCAAGAGACTTACCGCCTGAGCACGCAAGAACACCCAACATGCACACACGCGCGTTTCAACATACATCCAGCGTGGGAAAGGGTAGAGGCAGCCCCAGTCTGCCCGGGGGAAGGCAGGCGGCCGCGCAGCCAGGCAGCTGCGGGAGTCACGGTGCTGGGGTGCCAAAGCAGGTCCCAGCAGCAAACCTGGAAGGAAAGCGGCTAGGGGTGAACGGGAACACACACTGTGCTGGTGAGCAGGGCAGAGATCACGTTATTATTCATCAATGACAGGAAAAGTCACCAAAATAGAAGTTTTGGAAGGTTCCAAAACTATTTGTGTAGTGGGGCCAAATTTGACTAATAGCTTCAGCCAAAATGGAGAAAATAATTAGAAAAACATTGAAACATGTCATTTTTAGTTCTTCTTCTTTTCTTATTTTTTCTAAATGAAACATTTCACTTCGGAAATGATGAAACATTTTAGTCACAGCAGGATCTTGGAGCCTTTGTCCCAGTGAAACAGGAATGTTTATTCGGTTTGTCACTTACCGACTGAGTTAAATGTCAGGAGGAAATCTCAGTGTTGCTTTTTCATGTAAAAATAAAAATAAAAAAATGTACAAAAATGACTTTATCTGGTGGTACAGGGCATTAGAAGAGGCCAGCTAAAGGGCTGAAGGCAAGCACCTTTCCTGTCCGGATCCTCAGCTCTCCTGAAGTCCCAACAGAGGATGGAGCCACGGGGGATTAGCCAACCTGCACAGAAAAGTGACAGGGTGACCTCAGGTGACAGAGGAGGTCGGAAGAGAAGGGGTCCCTCTCAGGAGCCTCTCCCCCTACCAACCCAAGGAGCTGCCCCAAAATGGCCCTGGGAACAGCAGGGTCGAGGGCGACGAAGGCTGGGAGGCACATCAACGCCTGGTGCGAAGAGCCCCCCGGAGCTCCCAGAATGGGAGAAGCAGGGCCTTCCCCCGCTCTCGCGCCCAGGGGCGCTGGGGAAAGCCACATCCTGCCTCTTCCGTCACGCAGAGCGGCCTCTGCCAAGAAATCAGCCTCTCCCATGACTGGTGCCTTGGCTTAGTCTTATTTTAGGGTCTGATGAAAAGACTTGGGGTCTTCTCCAAGCTTTACTAATGAAGGGCTGAGTGCCACAGCCAAGAGACTCAGGATCCCACACTGCTCCCTCGCTCCTACCACTCCCACATGAGCCCAGATGTCCTGTGTGTTTCCTTCCCTCGCTCCTTCCTCCGCTCGAAATCCCTGCCCACACACCGCGTAGACTTTGCGGATCCAAGGGCTCACCACCATGGTTTATCACAGTTTCGGGAACGATCGTTCCTGCCATAGCTGGTACAATATCCACAACAGACCCTGAACTCCAGTCCACTTCCAGCGCACCGACAGCTTGTCCCAAAACTACACAGGCCTTGCCCAGATAATGACCTTTAACTACTCCATCCATGGGCCAAACGCTAAATCAGCGCTCCGAACAGCTCTTAAACTATCCAAGAGGGAGCTACGGCAAGAGATATTTTTCTGAACGCCATTACACAATTGCCTGCCCAAAGCCTGGCTCAGCCATTTACAAGCATTGGAGGAGCACACCCCGTTTCCAAAGTGTCCCACCACAGGTCTTCTTGGGGCAGACGTGGCATGGTGGCTTTTGGGGTCTTGGTGTGGGGTACGGAGACCCCAGCACGTGTCCACATGAACGGCCAGCTGCTGGGAGGAGACTGAGAACTGGTGATTACAGTAGGGAGGGAATTGGGAGCTGGGGCATGAAACTGGAGAGGGGAAACATTTAAGTTTTAATCTTGGAAACAGCTTCCTGATAGTAGATTTATGAGCAATGGGAATAGTCTCCTTTGCAGAAGGCTGGAAGCGCTGCTGCACGGGGCTTTAAAAACAAGACCGGATAAAAGAGTAGACAACAGACATGAGGAATGGATTTTGCTTTGACCAGAAGATGGATAGGACCCCGTGTTTCACTTCCAGCCCTGGCTACCCTGCCCATACATCAGCGGCAAATTTCACACCTGCCTTCTGCGGCATTTGCCCGTTTATGATTAACCAGCAAAGGTTGTCAGAACATTACTGCGCTGCTATGAAAGGCATCCAAACAAATCTGACCAGCCCAAATTTCTATCCCCGCTCTCACCCCACTGCAGCTGTGGAGGTGACCTCTTGGGGCTGCTACAGAGCCTCATTTTTCAGCTAACGCCTGGGTGTAGTAGCCAGAACCAGGGGCTTGACACATCCGACTTTTGTGCGGGAGCTTGTGGAAGGAGTATTTTCATTAATACATGTGTGGTGTTTAACTTGGACGCTGAAGTAGCTGAACTTTTTCTGACTTAGTCCTCCCTGTATATATATCACACTTTCCTGTAATCAACCTTTCCGTTTTTCCTGACTTGGCCTTTCCCAGTGAGTTCTCGGGTATTGATTTTCTTCAAAGCTGCTTTAGTGCTGCTGAAGGATATTGAAATGACAGCTCTGGCCATCCAAGCACTATACTCACCCACGAAAGCCGTCCAGCTCAGGCAGCCGCAACGCAGGCTTGACAGCTCCTCACTCCCCCGGCCCCACTTCCAGCCTCAGTATGACCCGACTACAGCAAGGGGTGAAAACGCTGAAGGAGCCAAGAAGAGCAGCACCTCTCTGTACCTCGCAGATTCCCCTGACTTCCTTCGTCTACATCCCCTTGCAACCACGGGTGAACATCAAGCTGCTCAGCTGCGTGCGGCTAAGCCCCCATCACATCGGGCAGGAGCAGCCGTGTGGATGCACGGCATAGACCGCAGCTGGCTCCGATTTGGTGCCCGCGAGGCTGTGGCAGAGGTGACAATCCCAGGGGCTCCGTGCTCCGCTCCCAGACCCTTCACCAGGGTCTGTTGGGAAGCTTGCCTGAGGCTCAGCCTCATAAAACTGCCGAGGCACTGCCCTGAGAAGGGATTAGATGCGAAAGTCTGACCTCAGCTGAGTACAGCAAGTCAAAAGCACTCTGACTTCAGGCTTATTGCCCCACAAAAACATCAGTGAAATCATTTCATTAATCCCCAGGGCCTCATTTCCTTCCTTCCCTCAGCCAAGCTGAAGCTTAAAATAGTATTTTGCATTCCTCATATTTCACTCCAAAACTAATTAATACCCAATCAGCCAAAAGCTCTTCTCGCAGCAGCCTGGCTTGATCATGCAACCTGCCCACCCCTGGCAACAGCAAAAGCACCCTACCAGGTTCCCGGCTCCTCCCAAAAGACATTTCTGATGGAGCATCTGGAGAGAACTGCACTAAGGCAACAGAAAACAGGAAAACAGTAAAATTACAGCCCCACGTGCAGTCTTACCTCTGTCCCACGTGCACACACAACTCTTACACGCCCATAAACAAACTCACGCTGCGGTAATTCCCCGACACCGCAAGCACGGCTGCTCTTCACCAGCTTCTAGCAGCCCCTAAAGGCAAAAACGCAAGTTACCTTCTGCCTCCTCTTGTTGGTACCTGCGCTGCAATGCAGGGCTGAAACCGCACTCCTGCTTTCCTGGGCTCGTGGAAACAAAGAGGCAATTTCTTTATTTGGATAAAAGGGCCTGGCAAAGCCCTCAGATTCAGTGCAGGGCGGGGAACGGGAAAGACGATGGAGCACGGGTCTTTCTTCATTTGGACTTCACAGCTATTTCTCACCCTCTCGGTAGCCCAGGCCAAGCATGAGTCAATCGACAAGGCTGTGCAGATGACAGAGCATAACTGCAAAGGAAGGGATGTGAGCCTAAGCTGGAAAGGAAACCTCACCCAGGAAAGCTCCGAACATGTTACCCCTTCGCTACAAGATCCTTCTTGCTCGAGGCCCACGCTACCAGGCACAGGCTCAGAGGATCACAGATGAGGCGCTGGCCCTTCCTGGCATGCAGGGACTATGGACCTGGAAAGGCTGTAACGAGCATCCCAAACACATGGAGAAGATGTGGCAGCTACAGAGGAGGGAGCAGAGGTCAGTGTGTGCTGCCTCACACCAAACACCCCCCACTTCATGTCTGTTTTTCAGCTTGAACTTCCACCCATGGACCAAACGCAAGGGCAGACTCCGCGCTCCAGCCGATCTCATGAGCACCAGCCCTCGCCCGCTGCGTTAGCGGGACAGCCTCATTAACGCAACCACCAGGAACGTGTGGCAGGACCTCAGATCTGGAATTAAGTTTTGTGTTGGCTACAGCACATGTTGAGGGCAACCGCAGTCCCCAGAGACGGGGTGGCCTTGTCTCAGGGCCCCCCTGCAGCCTGCCCACGGCAGGAGGACGGCGCGATGGCAGCAGCCTGCTGCGAGCACAGACCCGTTCTTCCCAGGGGCCATCAGCGGTGGGAAGACAAAGCCCTCCCGTGCCTCAGCTGGGTTGAGCTTGAAAACGTTTGCAAAGGGTAATATGGAAAATCCTGTTGCCGGAGCAGCCGCAACAAAATTCTGCCCGTGGGACAGCTCTGAAGCAGATTTACAGCTCTGCACAACAGGAGATGGCTCATCCCCTCAGTTCAGACTGAGCCTAGCAACCAGGCCTTGCATTTACCGCTTCAGTAAAGACCCCAAACATACAAAAAACCCCCACCAAGCGCCCTGCATCGCTGCAGAGCTCCACCTTCTCCAGCTGACAGCTGTTCAGAGGCAGAAGGGCCAAACCCTCTCCCCCAAACCGCAGAACCCCACAGAAGCCACCAAAGGCCCATAGGTGTTTTCCCCATCCCTCAAGCCGTGACAAGCCCTGCTCCCGCCAGACAGCGAGGCCTGGGCCAGCAGCTGGTGTTAGCCCAGCAAATCCTGGGCCCCTGGCAGGACACCAACCAGGAGGTGCCCCGAGATAGAGAGAAGCGCTGAAGAGTCACGACAAGGGATGACAGCGGGTGCAAGGGAGACACGCCAGCCCCTTCTCCCCGCTCGGGGAGCCCCTCAACCGGCCCCGGGGCAGCAGGGCTGCCTGCCCCCACAGCCGACAGGCCCCAGCAAGCCCAGAGCCTCCCACAGCCGGACGGACACGGCACTCAGCGGCACTGCGGACCCTGACAGAGCCCGGCCGGGCGCCCGGCTCCGGTCCGGCCAGCGTAGATCTCAGCTGCGGCCCGCCCCACCCGCCGCTGTGAGGTGGCCTGGCCCCAGCCGGGCCTTTTATATCTGCCCGCCGGGCCCGCCCCGCCCCCTCCCGCGGCCCCGCCCCGCCA